AATCAGTTGTGGATATTTATATCAATAAAGTAAGTTATATCAATATTATATTATATAGATTATCTAAATTTAACACCTTATCACAATAAAAAGTGGGCCTATCCGAGCAGCATTTTTCCTATGACAATCAACATAGGAAGTGTTCACATCTGCTGTGTATGGTACAATTGAAAATAAACAGTGTATAATGCTAATAATTATGGTAACGTTATTCTTTGCGGTTATTATGGTCAGATTATTTTATTTCAGTCGTTCATCTTTAAGTTGATTGATATATATTACACACAGGGTGACAGAAGGGACGAAGGTTTGTTGAAATGATTACTTAGTGCAGCATTCGAAAATTGTTGGATCTTATTAGTCTTTTTCTGAAAGATATTCAAAGGAAAAGAATTGACGGTGCACATGCATTACCTTGATAAAGAGTGAATAACTTTTTTACAAGTTTAACCTTTCTAAAAAGGTACAGAGTGCTTCGCAGTATCTTCATAGACTACGTCAACATGAAGTGATCATTGTCGATTGGGTCTTGAATACACTTACTGTAATTCAATATCTCTCCTGTCCGGAACATACACCCAATTTTATATCTCATTCTAGCCAAAATCAGAACTAGTTATTGTTAAGTAACAATTTCAAGATAGCGTGAATATCGAATAAAACTAATAGCTTCGCACCGTGATGCGGAGCAATAATGATGATATAACGGGATATCAGATAAAGTAAAGAGTGGTTTAATAAAAAAATATTTCCTTAAAGTTTTATTTCTTTGCTGATCAGTACGACACACCTTCTCCTTTAGGTGGCAATTAGGTGAAATATTTGATTTTTAATGCTTTTCAGCTTCATATTTGGTTTGGCCTTCCAACTTTTTTTATTCGAGCGCACTGATGAGTCTAATGAAGACGAAACCCATGTCCGGCGTAACAAATCATAAGCCTTATTATAAGTTTTTTTTAACTCCTTTTGAAATTTATTCAAGCATCAACTGCGTCCTCCCCATTGACATTAAATTGTCTCAACTGTTGGATGCTACATTTAAAATCATGTCTGTTGTTTCAACAAACCAACGACCTTGTGCAACTTTCATAAAAAAAATCTAAAATTTTAGTATCTTCGCAAACTATCATCAATTCATTGACAAAACAAAATCCTTTAAACTCTTTTTATTTAAATTGAGGATTTGATAAAAACCGCAAATTACGCAGACACTGAAACCATGTCTTAGGTCTCATTAAATCTACTTGTCAGAACATGTTTTAAACCCTTTTACATGATAACTAGCATGATTTTTGCGTTAGTAAAAGAACACATTTCAACGCCCAACTACGTCTATAAATGTTTTGAGCATACAATAACGTCGACTGGACACGTTTAGAGGATTTCAAATAAAAACAAATAACAACTTGAATATTAAACGAACTTAAACATTTATTTTTGAGTACTATTTGTGACTATGAATTGAAATAACACTTTTCTATATCGAACTTAAAATTCGAGCACATTCAACAGTGTTTTTTTTCTCTCGAGTAAAACAGCATTGTTTTATATTAATTCCTTTTTCGCTTTAAAATACATATAAACAATTTTTTAATAAATAGAAAAATTGCTCTAAATGTTTAGTATTTTTCAGGCATTAAAGCCGATATTTTTTTAATTTGCATATTATTTATCAATGAAGATGCTATGAATATATCGCTTATGGATACTATAAAAACATTTTGCACAATGATTTGTGACAAGACATTTATACCCACATTATCCAGAATCATTTTAATGACGAATGGGGTTATTTTTTGGAGAACACGGTTAATGTAATTGTAAATTGAGAGAACTGAAAATATGTTCTCAAAAGTACACCCGTTTAACTGGTGAAGTATGACAAAGGGTCCAGACTATATTGTCCATTCACAAAAGCACCGTTTTAATCAGATACTAAAATATTAATATATACCAAGTAAGTGTGTATATTTGTATATTATACAATGTGTATTTGCAGACTTTCAAATAGTTTTCAATGATTAAAAGTAGTCTAAAAAAAGGACTTTTTTATTTTAATTTTGACATTATCACTGTGAAATATAAGTGTAGATTATATTGTTTATCGTAATCTTTTCCAATAAAAACAATGAACAAATACTAGGTCTTTCAATCCCGTCAGAATTCGAATGGATAAAAAGCAAAACAGAATAAACACACACACACACAGACCATCAATGATCCACAGGAAATGCAATACAAAGAAAACTTAGATTTAGCAGCATGACCATACAGTTATGTTTTTACAAAACAGAGGGAGGTTAATTGTCCTACTAAGAACAATTGTTCATTCCTATGCAAATTCAACCTCTACTGTAGGTTCAACAGTTTTTTAACAATAGCTTATTTCGGTAGATGTAGTATTCTGTGAACAACATACTATCTGTAATGAGCGGATTAATATGGTAACGTTTCTACATAAAACATTCTTAATAATTTTCAATTTTGCGTTTTGTATTTTTCATTCTGTTTCCGAAATAACTAAATGAGAAAATGCGGTATGATTGTCAATGAGACAACTCTCCAGCAGAAATGACAAATGTAAAACAATTCAAACGAGTACACTAACCATCTGACTTATGTATAAAGCGATAAAAGAAAGACAGATATGATAAACAGCAACAAACGACAACAACTGAACTCGTTTTGTTTTAGCTAAATGCAAATTAAGTATTTGCTATAATTAAAATGATCACACCACTGTAAAAAGAATTAATGGATTTGTTTAAAAATATAGGAATCGATACGAAATACAAATAAAAAGACAATAAAAGTTCCAGAATACGCCGAAGAAAACAAAGGTAAAGGTAAATGTAGGTAACAAACACAAAACCAATCAACAATAATACAAAAAAAATCATTATGCACGCAAATAATTCATGAAAAAAAATAAAGATTCAATTCAAACATAAATTCTAAATGAGATAAAATAAAAAAATTACATAAAAACATAACTTTTTTCGGGTGGGAGGGTTGGACAACTTTGTTGAACTGAAAGCGAGCCTCGAATGACAATATCTTAAAATCACACAACCGCCAAAACTATAGCACGAAATATGGGAAATAACATTATTCAAATACCGTGGCCAGTTCTAACTAAATAACATTAACGGTAACAATATGTATGAACCAAATGTGCTCATTTCAACCAATGAAAACCATTTAAATCATTATATACATTCAACACATGTATCAATTATAAACAAGTACACTTGGTAATGTTTACATACCGGTTTACATACCTTTAATAAATATGTATTGCATGCACATGATGGAAAGCGACGCAATTCAAAATCTTTGAAGTGATATAGTTTCATGCAGGACTTCTTCCTTTAGTCCCTTCTTTGATCAGAAAAAAAAACCCGTGAATATTTTTGAATAACTTACAAATGTGGAAAACTGTTAAGATATATACGTAGGTGCTACATAGAAAAGGTATAAAATCTATCTTATTGCACACAACAGGTATTTCTTGTTTTAATCTTCATCCAGAACTCTTCAAGATATACTTGTTTCGAGATGCAATGTCACACAGTCGAGAGAGACAGTTTACTTTGTCATATAAAAAAGAAGATGTGGTATGATTGCCAATGAGACAACTCTCCATGCACAAGAGAACAAATGACACAGAAACTAATAAATGTGGATAGTGTCCACATGTGGACACAGATGATGCCCCCGCTTGCATATCAAATAGTTATGAAGGGACATAACTGAAGAACGGTAAAAGTGACGCTACCCAAATTTGAACTTGAGTTTTGTGGTAATAAGCATTGTGTTTAAGTCTCATAACATTTGGTTGAGGCTAACTTAAGTAGAGAACAGAAACTAAAAATTCAGCAATTTTTTCTATTTGTAAAGACGCATAACTCTAGAACGGTTGTGTATAAGTTTTTTAACATTTGGTTGAGACAAACTAAAGTTAGAGAATGGAAACGAAAAATTCCGCAATTTTTATGTTTATAAAGAGGCATAACTCACGAATGGTAAAAGTGTCGCCACCAAATTTCGTACTTAATCTGTATTATGTAGTAATAAGCATTGTGTATAAGTTTCATAACATTTGGTTGAGGCAAACTAAAGTTAGAAAACGGAAACAAAAAAACTGTACTTGATCTTAGTTTTGTGGTAATGAATATTGTGTATAGGTTTCATAATGTTTGGTTGGGGCAAACTTAAGTTACAGAATGGAAACTAAAAATTTTGCAATCTTTCGATTTATAAAGGGGCATAACTCAATAATGGTTAAAGTGACACTACCCAAATTCAAATTGATCTGTGTTTTATCAGTGGAAGTCAAAATTAAACATTGCATTGTATAAAGCATTGATTGTAGTTGATTCAACTATAATCATGGACAAAAGAAGATAACTCCAATTCTAAAAATAACTTGATATTTAGAAGAAAATAAAAATTTTGCAATTTTTCCATTTATAAAGGGACATAACTCTAGAACGGTTAAAGTGACGCCACCAAAATTCAAATTTTATCTGTGTTTTGTAGTAATAATCATTGTGTATAAGTTTCATAACATTTAGTTGAGGCAAACTTAAGTTAGAGAACGGAAACTAAAATTTTGCAATTTTTCCATTTATAAAGGGGAATAACTCTAGAACGGTTAAAGTGACGCCACCAAAATTCAAACTTGATCTGTGTTTTGTAGTAATAAGCACTGTGTATAATTTTCATAACATTTGGTTGAGGCAAACTCACGTTAGAGAACGGAAACCAATGTTGGGACGTACGTACATACGTACAGACGAACAAATGTAAAACTTAATGCCCCCACCGCTACGGCGGGGGTATAACAACTATAGGTCACCGTACGGCCTTCAAAATGAGCAAAGCCCATACCGCACAGTCAGCTATAAAAGGCCCCGAAATGACAATGTTGCTGAGGTACCTAGACCAAAGCAACATGGTATGAGTATTTTAGAGATACAGCACAAATGAATAAAGCATAAAAAAGGAAAATATTTATTTAGAAAAACATGTAAAGATACTATAAATTTATCACAGATGTTAAGAGCACAATTCAACAATACACAAAGAAAAATTGTAATTTATGTTCATTTTCAAATTTTTTCCTGATTAATAAAAAAATACTTCTACAAAAGGTACACATACTACAATGCTACATCTTAATATTCACAATTTAAAAATGATATAACTGGATTAAATAATGTACATGTCATGTAAATATACATTTCTATAATATATTTCATTAGATTGTTTTTATTCCGACTTTTAGTGTATGTCTTTGTTGTTAAAGGAAAATATAATTAGTGTAATAAATATTAAATAATCCTCATAGTCTGTTTTAGTCACGCACTTTTCATGGTAGTAGTTATTAAGGACATGCCATGTTTCTTATCTATATTGATATCTCATTTCTAATATTCATATTGTTTTATTTTACCATACGGCTGTTGGTATGTTCGATATTCCCATATTTCCAAATAAAAAGTTTTTTCAAGTCAACAAATACTGCTTTATTGTAAAACTTAAGTAGTGTACACCGTTGTTCATTGACAACAATGTTATGCAATATTAGATCAAATGGTATTACAACGTCTACGTTATATATTGTATATTTGATTTACAGAGGTTTGTTACAATTAGAGACCAGACGACGAATCAAGATAGTCCTCGTACTTTTACGTTATAGTTCCTTCATGTCAATTCCATTTCATTACACTAAATATCTCTTTTTGGGAAATTCTTGCAATTCCAGCTATGAGACAACGTTTGTTATAATAATAGTGATTCGGTTTTATACAGGGCTTGTTAGATTTTTTATGTTTTAATAGTGAAATATTTAGTTAAAAATAGAATTCAAAATATATAAATGTCTATCTTATCTCTTTGTTGTTTGCTTACATGAAAAAATGCATATCATAAATGATGAAAACAATACTATTTACAGACGTTAGGTTAACTCATGGCACATATAGTATACAATACTGACTCGACTAGCACTTCTACATTTTCAAGAACATGGCACTTGTCTCCATATATTGACTTGGAAGTAAACAAATTAGTTACAGCTTATTTTTAGTAATTTGTGGAGAAATACGCACTTACGTTTCTTGTAATTCCTGACTTAACGATATTAATGAACTTAATCTGACGGTTTAGTAGTTTATACAGAACCAGATTAATAAGATGAAACACGACATAGAGGTAAAATAAACAACGAACCAATTAAAAATGATGACTTAAGTATTGAAAAAAGATGCGTTTATTATCATTTTAACTTTCAATCGACTGTCCAAGTGTGGTCTTTTCTTGTATAAAGAAAGGTGCAACCAAAGTAACGAACGCACAATTGACACTGAATACAAGTTGACTTTAATTTGCATACATATACTATGTTCTACATGTTAACAATTTCTGACAGATTTTTAATTTTCAACGTACGTTTTTTTTCATTTCTATGATTCACAAGATATCAATTTTCTCAGCTCTTCATTGGCTGTTTTTTTTTTATTATTTCATATCCAAAATTCCTGTGCCCACCTTGGTTTGTGTAAATACTTCATCTAAAATTGGTTAAATTTTTAGCTTCTTAAAAGAAAAAATTAACATTGTCTTACGATCCTGATAGATCAGCAATCTTATAGTGCATTGAATGGCCTAATGTTCCCGAACCCTGGACTTTTCAATTATTAATTGTTTATCTCAAGTTAAAAATGTCAAATTCCAATCTTCTACACTAGTAAAATCTATATAAGATACTATATTTACTTTAAATTTCGCTTTGTTCAAGGCAGCTAAATAAAATGCAATTTTGCCCCATATTCTAAGATTGTTCACTGTTTTTACCTTTGATACATTATACAGTTAATTATCAAGTCTTCAAGTTCAATAATGTAAACTCTTTTCCATTTAAAGATAAATAAAATAAAATATATATTCAGTCTTTTGTAATGATAGACAGATCACAAGAATGTGTACATTTATTCTGATTTCTGTTTTCATAAAAATTAGATTAGCTTATCCATAATGTAAAATATATAAAATAAATCACTTTTGCTTGGATTTTTGTATTAATATGCTTTTATATATGTTTTGTTATACTATCATAAAAATGATCCAAACCTTCAAGTTTAAGCATGCAGTATTGTACATAATTTACGTTCCTCGAATGTTTCCAATACTCGTATTTATTGGTTATCGATACTCTGTCCATCAATAAAGTTTATGTTATTTACGTTATCTTCACATCTATATATACTACAGTGGTGTATTGCGAGTAATTTATCAATTTGCAAAAATAATACACAGCGAAAATTTAACATTCCCATTTCGTCAATAAATCGCGAAATAAAGCCATCGCGGAAAAACTGATAAACGATATTTATAATTGTACCGTTTAAAGCAATCTTAAAAAGGAGAACATACATACATGTTTATTTTATTTTCTTGTAGAAATATATAGCTTTGTGTTCATATAATGAGACACTAAAATCTTCGTTAACATTATTTATCAGACTTAGATATTTCATAAAATTCATAAACATATTGCCAGAGATGGAAGTCTTGTAAATGAGCTGCTGGTTCAAATATTTATCCCCAAAATAAAATTACCGGGTGGCACCACTGATATTGGTTCCTTGTCATTTAGGAGTAAAAAAAATAAGTTTGACATACAAACCGTTTGCAACTTCATAATTCACAGCACTAAAAATATTGAAATTATGCACAAAATAGAAATAAGATCAATTGATCTGCTTTAAATAAAAAAATTGTACATTAAGTATACTAGGAATGACTGCAAATTAAAACCATTCACTGGTAACAATTTTACAACTAAGTCCGTTGTAAAACAAAAATCACGAAGATAACAAGTCAGACTAGAAATGGAAGATAATGATACCGTAAAAATATATAATGCTAAGATGTTTTTGAAGAGTTCCTATATTCTTCTTCTGTAACACATAGGTATATAAGTTCAATAGCCTGCGCCCCCTCCTGATGATTTTTCAAAGTACATGAAGTCCTGAAAACATGACATATTCAAAATTAGTTAGAATTAAACTTTTATAACACTAGTACAATGCTGCTACATATTCAATTTTTTATCTGCATGATTTTTTCTTCATCGAATATGTATGATTAGTAAATTCTTTCCATAATAAACTAAATTATGTTTTGGTATATATTTTGCTAACGAATGTGTCATCGCCAACATTTAATAACCATAATGTGTTGAAGATTCTGAATCAACAGTATTCAAACGAAGGTATGTTCACCCTTACTCGTTTACTAAGCTAGGCAATTAGGCAATACATTTGTCATAATTGATTTACATTTGCAACATTGCTACTTAGATCCGTCAGATAATTTTATACAGTGCCAAAGTTATATCAAACATTTGCCAATATGCCAACCTTTGTATGATAAGTTTCTTATATATCTCATCTGATATAATGAAAATGCATTTGTCATTAAGCTGTTACAAAATTCAAAGGAACGCCGAAGAGTTATCATTATCTTTAAAAACCTATTGACAGAATTTTGTTTTATAAAAAAATAATATTTTAGAGATAAAAATACAGATATATATATATATGTGTGTGTATAACATGAATAATGTGCAATGTCAGAATAAATATTTGAATTTCTGTATAGTTTCTGATGAAAAAAACGTTTTAAGGTATGAAAGCAATAAAAAATATCATTTATCTAAAAACATTTATTAACTAAGTGTTGCATAATCGCCTTTTTGTTTAGGTTGATGATGATATTAGTACCTTTTAATCAATGCAACAGTTTCTATCTCATTAATTGCAATGACTCTACTTTTGTTATCTTAATGTCTTTACCCTTTGTTCTATTGCAAATTCTCATAGTGTTGCTCTCTTTAAACCACATCAAGTAACATACACGTTACAGTACAAATAAGAATTCAGTAGGATCCCGAACTATCCAAGTAAAAATTGGAATTTCAATATCAATACATTAACGTACCTGATATATACTTATGATACTGTGAATTTTAGTAATGAGGACGTTAAGAAAAATGCCCTGCTTGGAAATAGATTTATAGGAATTTAGTCCTACCTCTTTTCTTTTTGATTATAAGTTTTATTGTGAAGAAAATCAAAAAATTCTTTTATGGTGACTTTTTTAGTATTCCTCTGGTACAATCCAGGATCATCTTAGTTCAAATCTGGATATCACAAGTTTTTACCAGTAAATTTCAGAATTTTAATTAGAATAAATCATAATTTCAATTTCTTTTACTAGTAAATATTACAATTGCATTTGTACTAGGAGTGTTCTGGATCTTAATGTATTCCAATTTATACTTGAAGGATTCTGGGTTTTCCTGAACTCCAATGTGTACTGTAGCATACACATGCTAGTGTTCTTCACAAACAAATCGTAATTTTTTCCGTATTTTATTTGAAAAAGCTCTCTTAAATCAAAAGTATCAGTATTCCGCATATCGAGATAAACCACCAGGATTCTTAAATGATCATGCACTGATTTCTGATTCATGTTAACGGATGTTAAACAATAATGAAAATAAGCGGACCGTAGCAGCATAGATATTAATAAAGTGAGACCAACTGAAATGGCTTCACATGGTCGAATTGGTAAGGTTTCCTGCTGACTAGCTACAAACACAATACAAGCACATATACAATAATAAGGAACATATATCAAATGAAACATGCGAACGTTAAATGCAATTGACTATAAACATAACATTGTGCACGTAAATGCTGATTTTAAAACAAAAAATTTACGAAAGCAGCCCAAATAGAAAAATAAAATATATACAGATGGTTAAAAAAATGAAATAACTTTGTAATGATAAATTATAAATGCTCATATACAAATATCCCAACATAATACACAAAGCACATATAGGTGTGTAGGATAAATGGATTTACTCAAATACAATTATGTGATATAAATGTATATATACATATTAACGTTGTCCTCCTGATTTCTCGAAGTACATAAAGTCCTGCAAAAACATTGATATTAGCAAATGGTCTTCATATCAAACGTGATACATAGAGTACACAAAGTTTTTAGTTTTCTAATATAGCTGTGCATTCTTGTGGATAAGTATGGGGTTTCAGATATGTATGTTCCTATCTCTAAAACAATTTCCGGAATAGGAATTGTATTTTTAAAGTATCTTTCGATACAGTTTTATCTATTTCCACAGAAAAGCGTACTAGCTTATATAGTATGATTAAATACAATGGAATGATTAGAAAAAAAAAATCATCTAAGATACCCAACTTATAATTTTGTACACCAGACGCGCATTAAATAAATTCAATTGTACTAAGGCTATTTAGTATGATCACCAATGAGACAATTAGTCATTAGAGTTCAAATGACTTTGAAGTAAGCAGTTATATGTCACCGTACGGCATTCAACTGTGAGAAAAATCCATGCAGTATAGTAAGCTAAAAAAGCCCCGACATGAAAAATATGAAACTATTCAAACGAGAAAACTAACGGCATGTTTTTAATTTTTCTTTTATATGAATCGATTTACCTTCAGAGACTTTATCAAATTTCGATAAAAAAACATAAACCAAACAATTAAGAGAATTAACAAGCAATGTCGGTTTACTTACAATTAAAAATACTGCTCCAAGCATTGCTGCTTTCACCTTCACATCAAGGTCTTGTGGAACTACAATATAGAATAAATACGATTAGGCCCATGCTTTAGGTGAAACACTTTTGCAAACATGTAGCAAAAATCCTGTCTGGTCAAAATTTAAGATCCGATCTTACATAATAGAAGAGAACAGAACGATTTCGCATTTTTTTTTTTTACATCGACTATGATTTGACATGTGGACGCACCTGATCTTGCTCTTTTTCGAGGTCATGTGAATCCCTCCGTTTTTTGTTTGTTTTTGTTTTTACCTTGATTTGTCTCCCCTTTGTCGATTTACGAGATTTGAACATCGATAAACTACTGTAGCCTTAATTTGTTAAAATGTCGAAATCATTCAGATATTGTTGTTAGATTTGTATCCGTTTGAAACAGTAAAGAATTAATTATTTTTATCAGTTGTCGGTTTAGAATGGATAGCATATTAGGAAGAACATCTTAGTCGGATCGATTCTAATATAGTCGGATACGACCAGACGAAGGTGGCAGTGAAAAAGTTCAACGCAATCAAACATTTTTTTTTTCAATGAGACCATGTGCCTCGACAGGGAATGAATCTCCTTTCTGCTGTCAACATTTTGTATATTTTTTCTTTCCATACGTTTAGTCATGAGCGTGCCTGACAAAGATTATTCAGAATACACGTCTTGTTTCACGATTATCATATCCTTTGGGATTTGTTCTACAATTTTATGACTTTGCACATGGACATTTTAATGAAATAAACTGTACATGTAGTACTGCTATTGCAATCAACCTAAAATAGCCATTCTTCTATTATATTTTATTAGTTTGAGTACATTTGTTAATGGCAATAATATAATGCTTACATGTTGCTCCAAATGTGTTAGCATCCACAAAAAATTCTTGTAAACCTCTTTGTTTGCAGATTGTTCCAACTTCTTTTGTGTCATCATTTGACCATACCTGAATGAATTATTGCAATTTTTATCAAAGGTGCACAATAATCAATATTATGTATTGAAAACATTTACGTTTGCAACCACTACGAATTGTTTTAATACAGATCAATAATCTACATTTCACATTAATTAATTGTTGAAGGAAAAGATCAAGAATACTGACATTATTCATACAACGATTAAACGATTAGCTATTCAGAACAATTCATCGGTTATCCGTTACATAACATAGGAATTTGAGTAATGCAACGGGTGTCACTAGTGGAGCAGGAACTGCTTACTTATACTGCGTTCACTTTCGGTATTAAAATTACATCTTTGGTAATCTGTGTCGTATGTTTGTGGGCTGTTGTATTTCTTTTGTGGGCTGTTGCACGTCTTTTGTGGGCTGTTGTATGTCATTTGTGGGCTGTTGTCAGTCTTTTTCTTTTGGCTATGATTTTGCCTGTTTGTAGTCGACTTGTAGTTTTTAATTGCCAGCCTGTATCTTTTTTTTAATCATAAACTGATAAAGATTTGTCAAAAGAAAAACATGTATTTGTCTAATTCTATTAATATTAAAAAAAAAATTTAAATGAATTGATGGTTTTTCATATATGAAATTTTTTGTAGAAGTAAACCAAATAGAACTAGTGCCATTTAGTATACGCGCCTTTACTTTAGATATTGTTTCCTATTTCTTGGTAAACACATTTAAATTCTAAGGTTATTCCAATAAACAATGTGTACAGTCAGCTTACATTAAATGTATCTTCACAGCATGGCATATTGAGAACACAACATGGACCATGAATTCTTAAAATTGGATTTCGTTCAGCATCTCTCAACGTGAAATTCGGCGACCAACTACTGTACCTATTTATAAACAAAAAGAACATGTAGATAATACAAATCAAATAAGATCAAAATATTAGATTATATAAAGTATCTCAGTTATATCATCATCAATAAGAACCCACGTGCGTTTAAGAACGATTTTAGGGTGGTATTAGCTTTAAATATTTGAAACAGATTTAGAAATGTAATCAGCATCATACATTTGGTTTTGTTTCGTTCACATCACAGTTGAGTTTGTCCATTGTGTGGTGATTCAATTTATATATGAATAGTTTCAATAATGTCATTTTGGTCAAAATATTCTGCGGATTAAATGTGATGAAATTGTTAGAATTTATCTATAGTCTAACTTTGAAAAGCGCTTCGGACGAATGAAATTTAGAAGGTGTTATTTTCATTTTTGTTTTGCAGCTCAATGGCTGATCAATAAAATAAAGACAGATGCATATACAATCTAGAAAATGTATTAACAATAACGATGCAATAATAGATTTTTTCCCTGAGATAAACATTATAACATAGTTGGAGGAAGATAAATCTTAGAAAAAAGGAATTTATCTTCCTCGTGCACATATCTGGATATTGTCCAGGTTATTGTTTTGAGTTCTGTACGTTTATGATATCTTTTTAGTGTTTGCATCGGGTTTTATACTTTTATACTTGCATGCAAAAATAAGGCGTAAATCGATGGAAAAAACTCATCACAGATGCCAGGTTTATAATTTTGTGAACACCAAACGCGCATTCCGTCTATTAAAGACAAACCAGTGACGCTCGAATCAAATAAGTTAGAATTCCAAATAAAGTATAAAGTTGAAGAGCATTGAGAAAACGAATGGTTTCGCCAAAAATACTGTTATGGTAATATATTCCTGGGATAGAAAAGCCTTAGTATTTCGAACAATTCAAATTTTGTGAACAGTTAATTTATAAATATGATCATATCAATGAAAATTGATGACAGTGCTGACTACTAGTTTGAGAGAGAGACAAACCAAGGTAACAAACCAAAACTGAGGGAATCGCATGAACTACCAACGGACCGAGACTGGGCGCTTCGCTAGGGTTAGCATCTCCTTCTACATGTGTACGCATCACTTGCCATGCAAAATGTCACAATCCGGAATAGGACACTTTCGAAAAAAATACAGATCAGACAACTATACTAGTGTCTATAGGTCCGAGACTGCGAAATCATGTCGCTAGTGAGTTGAGACATTATCAAATCGTATCAGTGAAACAATCGTGATGTTAATCGTAAAACGTATGCAGTTGCTATTTCAGTTTTTCCTCCTAATTACTCTGTTGGGGCAGTATTTGTGTAAGGAGCACAACCCTCTTGATGAAGTTCGAATAGTGTGAACATGTACGAGAGTCAGAAAGGTTCTGTATAAAATCTGCTTCATATGAGTAGAAAAACAAGTCGGCCGGTAATGGTGCACAATGAGTGCCTATTGGAATACAAACAAATGGAAGTTTTTAACGACCTTGACTGGATATACATCCCTCGCACGGTCGGCTCGGTGCCCGAAGGCGTTTGGTGAGCGTTTAAATAATTTTGTGCCATCGGTCAGGAACAGGTGGAGGACGCCATTTTGGTAGGCCGCCATCTTGGTTTTGTGAGTTGTTTTGGTTTTTCTTTTGTTGACTATTTTGATGTTATGTCTTCACAACGGCTGCTTTCAGGGCCAGATTGGTCAGCTTGGCAGCCCGCTAACCTCGATGATGGAGTACTGGTAGATGAGTCTCGGACGTAGTATTAACGATGACAGGAAGCATTATCAGGACCAAAGTTGTGAGACAGTGAAATGGTGGTCCATCATCTAACACCTAGGATACAGCCCTCGGACGTCACTCGGCATACCACTCCCCCATCCATAATGGGTTTTGGAGTGTATGTTGACGCGGGAATTAGCCCTACACGGATTATAGCCTAACGTAGTCTGTACAGCGTTGGATTGGTTTCTGTCATCGAAAGTAGTAAGTCGTTGATCCATCTAACAGTAAACCCTCATCGAAGATAGCGGGTAAAGGAGAGCTGACCCAGCACGTCCGTTCAGTTGTAATGACTGAGACGTGACTGAGTAATGTGATTGGAATACCGACTGTCTGCTGAATATAAACTCATAAATCGATCAAAAAGTCTAGGGTTTTAATGATATCATCTTCGGTGTATTTGATGTGGAAATCAGTGTGGTTTTTCAAAAAGTAAGTTTCTTGACCTAAAACAAGGAATTTGTAGGTACGTTTCCATTTTTGTCGAAAAAAACTGTTTAATAAGACGATGCAGCCGATCTTTACATTTGGTATGGGGAATAATAGTTTAAAGCGTAGAAAAACCATACGTTTTTTTTAAATTGTAAAGATTGTGGTTGAAGATTTACGGAGGCTGAAGACTCCTTGTCCGGGTTCAGCATGCAACGTATATTACTTTACTTACTCTTGTCTTGCGTATCCAACTACCTGTCCAACAGGAGCTTCTATCATTACCTCGTGTGCGCATGCCTCAGCGTTTGCACACCAGCAACATCCTGCACAACATTTAAAGTCCCTTGACAGACGAATAACTTCCTGTCAAAAAAAATTTTTTTTAAAGTCATAAACCACCAAATGTGGAGCTTTTCTTTTATTGCTAAGAACGTAATGATTGATTTTTGCTTGCTTTGCGTCTAGTGACAATCAACCGCAAAGTCATAGATTACGATCTATTAATAAAGCATTTTGTGACACTTGACCTGATATATTTGTGCAGAGATTTTGCGACACTAAAACCATTGACGTCACACATGAAACACTCTTGTCCTGTGTCGTCAAATATTTAGACTTGTGACGTCAAAATTTAAAGGAACGTCTATTATCCATTAATGGCGGATATAAAGCTTTCAGGTGTTTGACATTAACAAAGGCTTTACGTCGGTCTGCTTTTGGTACTTCTTACCTGATTCATGTTGTCTGTGATGTGTATCACAAAACTTCTTTGAGGCCCACAACATTGTCTCATACACATGTCTGTATCTGAAAACATATACAATATTAACTTAATCTGTGAACATAAACTTCTTTTATTCAAATCATTAAAAGGGGGAGTTGTAAAAAAGAGGCAAAAGATACCGAAGGGACATTCAAACTCATAAGTCGAAAATAAACTGACAATGCCATGGCAAAAACCGAAAAACGACCAAAAGACAAACAACAGTATACAAAACAAAACATAGAAAGCTACACGAACCCCACCAAAAATCAGGGCTGATCTCTGGTAAGAAATTCTTGAAATTAGAATGCAAAACACCAAATAGATTCTTCAATATTTTCTATAATTATTGATATTCATTACATCATTTAGTTATTTACAATATTGTGAAGTTGTATTTGCAAAGTAAACCCCAAATTTTGACACTAATTTACAACATAGGCAATAGAGTGGTTCAATTCTTGATATACAACAACAGAGTATACTTAAAATATAAAATGTATATAAATCATTAAAGATTTTTGTAGCTTGAAGTATTGAATGCTTCTCTTCGTTGTTTCATTATAAAATTGAATGCTGTTATTTTGGAAAATTTATAACAAAATGAAAGCAAGTGACTTTCACATTTTGCATGAAGCGCTAAAATGTGATCGTCACTTGCTTTCATTTCGCCTATTAAAAAAGAGCATGCAATTCTTATACATACAGACCTTTGAAATGAAATATATAATATGTTATTAACATTTTGAATCTTAAAGTAAAACTTTAAACACAAATCTTCGGCAGACATTGTCTAGAGAGATGAGAGCAATATAATACGGTACCACGTGAAATCAATAATACGTCATAAAGCTGAAATTTGCAAAAGGAAAAGGTTGGTTTCAAAGTTGATATCTTATAAAATATTAATCAATGTCAATAATTATAAGTCGTGTATATAATAGGATACTAACTTATTATTGTTACAAATTTCAATTGATCATTTATATTTACAATATATAATGTCAATTTCAAATTTACAACCATGTTTGTTCAGACATTACCATTAATACAAAGTACACGAACAATGAGTAAAAGTAGTGCTGTTAATTAGAAGGGTTAGGTTTATAATTCTTGGGCTGCTTCCATACAGAATTGGAAATTTATGAAGGCATGAAGTAATTCGCATACGCCAATAAAAAATCGGTATTTGTATGAATTGAATACCAACCGAAAATATATGGGTTTAAATTAACAGTAGTTGTCCGATGTTTAAATTTGTTAAAAAAAACAAAAACATAAGTGTTGACCAAAGCACGTCCTCTTAAGGATGTTCGCTTTTAAAAATAACTAACTTTTTAATCGACTGTTATAAATCGATAGTATATAAATAACTGAACTTAAAAAGCAGAAAAAAATGATAGGTCCGAGATTTTGTTTTTGAGATATAATCAATTGAAAATTTGGCGGGAAATGATTCTCTCTAGATTGTTCATACATTTAACATTGGCACCTTTTTTCTTTCAAACACTATGAAAAAATAACAAGGATTTTATAAGATTTTCATAAATTACAAGTTAAACTATATGTAATAAAAATATGAACAGAAAAGTGAGGGTTAGTGGGAATTTTTTTCATTGGTACTACATGGATAAAACTAGAGGATTCCGAATATCTGACAAAAAAGTCAAAAACAAGAGGAGCGAACATCCTTAATGAAGTCCATATAATGTGAACATGCACGTACGAAAAGTATCAATTGGGATAGGTTTAGACAATACCATAGGACAGAGGGCATGTTACTACTTAGAAATGGGAAGATCACAATGTAAAACCTTGAATAGTCACTTTTGTCATTGATCATACTTTGAAGTTGCAATCTAAGTCAATTTCAGGAACAGATATGAAACAGACCTTCTAGTTTCAGACGTATCTTTAATTTGAAGTTCAAGGGAATAGATGAGGTGCAAGCATTCGCTTAAATGTCATTGAGTGACAGGACATCATCAGTATATATCTAAACGTGAAATTAACTTGGCAAGATGCTTTTCCTTTTCACACAGCAAGGTTCCATGAGGCCAGGATATTGTTTAATGCTAAAAACAAAATTTACAGAAAAAAAAATTAGTATTGCTTCAAACTATAATTAGCGACTTGATATTTATCCTAACATTAATGGGACATAGGGATTGATCAACAGTATCATAACTATCTAATAATAAGTTTATTAATGAGACAGTTGTGTAGGACAATTCCTAAAATTGCTAGTTTTATAAATAAAAAGACTGTACAACCCCTCTTTTTTTAAATAAAATTCCTGTATGTGGAATCATACTTCCACGATAAATCTGTATATTTGTGATAAAATGTAGTAAATTTTTGACCCATTCAAATGTCCGTGCTGTAAACGTTGTAATGACGGTAATAAAGTGAGATTTGTTTAAAGATGCGTTGTTTGTTTTGGACAGTTCTTAGCTATGTAAACATTTAGAGATAATAGACATACATACATCATATATATATTTCAATAATTAACGTAAATGTTTGCTTTTATGAAAAAAAAAAAGTGAAAGTCATTGTATTTTACTTTCAAAACCAAAATACTAGCTGCACCAAATCAGTTGAATAACTGATTCCGAATATTGTAAAATAAGTGCTGATTTTATAAAATTCCTGTTATCAATATAAATTTTACAAAAATACAGATAATGTAGCGGTTTTGTATGCAAATTTCGTACTACGAAAACATGTCTAACAAATATTTTCAATATCATTTTTTTTTATAAAACTCTTTGTTTGCTGTCCTTACCATTTCAAACTATATATGATTCACATATTTTAATAATTTTTAAGACGAGTGTACAGACAACCATGTTGAATATGTTAACTTATTTATGCAAAAGTGTTGGTAATTAAATATCTGTTCTTCCATAACACCAAAACTACATTATAAATCCAACATAATCGAATACACTTTTACTATTGGCAAACAAAACATAACCATTCGATAGATCAAAATGTCTTTTGTGGCAATACAGAAAATGTATAAGCTCTATCAGATTAGATGTTGTTTCAAGAGCGTCTTTAACGTCTAAGTCTTTGGGAGAAAACTAAACTGTCATTTCTTAAAGAAAGCTCATTATACTAATAGCGGAAGCCAAAAGTAAAGGACAAATCAAACATCCTATTATATAATCGTAATAACTCGGGAGTAATACAGGTACGTATTGATTGTTTTCCCCAGAAGCTTACTTCATATTCGTGTATCTATTTGTGATAGATCATGTATATAAATAATACAAAGGAAAACATAAACTTTGAACTTAAACCTTTGCATATTGTATGCACAGTCTGTTTTTATCTTTGCATATTGTATGCACAGTCTTTTTTATCTTTGCATATTGTATGCACAGTATGTTTTTATCTTTGCATATTGTATGCACAGTCTGTTTTTATCTTTGCATATTGTATACACAGTCTTTTTTCACCCTTGCATATTGTATGCACAGTCTGTTTTTATCTTTGCATATTGTATGCACAGTCTTCTTTCACCCTTGCATATTGTATGCACAGTCTGTGTTTATCTTTACATATTGTATGCACAGTCTGTTTTTATCTTTGCATATTGTATGCACAGTCTGTTTTTATCTTTGCATATTGTATGCACAGTCTGTTTTTATCTTTGCATATTGTATGCACAGTCTGTTTTTATCTTTGCATATTGTATGCGCGGTCTTTTTTCATCCTTGCTTATTGTATGCACCGTCTGTTTTTATCTTTGCATATTGTATACAGTCTTTTTCCCCAGTTCAATATCAAACACAATATCTAAGACATTTTATAGCTTACCTTCCGCTGCAAAATAAACCTGTTGTCCTTGATTGTTCATTATTTTGTATTTGTTGTTTTGTTCCCAGCCTGTAAATGCTACAATAAAAAGAAAAGAACTATATATACATACTGTTTATCATATTTGTTTTTCGTTTATTGTTTTGTACAGTTTGCTCTTGTGTTGTTCTGTTGCACCACTTTTCCATGTCTAGGGGAGGGTTGGACGCTTACTAACAAGTTTACCCCGCCATATTCTGCATGTGCCTGTCCCTAGTCAGGAGCCTGTATAGTAGTTGTCGTTTGTTGCTGTATATAATATTTGTTTTCGTTTATTGTTTTGTACATACATCAGGATGTTAGTTTTGTAGTTTGAATTGTTTTACATTGTTATTTCGGGACTTTTTATAGCTTGCTATGCTGTGTTGGTTTTGCTCATTATTGAAGACCGTACGGTGACCTATTTGCTGATTACGTCATATGGTCTCTGGTGCAGCTTTGTCTTATTAGCAATCATACCACATCTTATTTTTCTATCGCTGGAATTAACTCTAAACTCCAGTATTAACAGAATCAATTGTTTGAAGAGTTCTACAGTCGATTCTTTTATTGAATAAGAAATTGTTTTCGTGCACCCTTTACATTATAATAGCGTGGTTAAATTGAATTAGGAAAATCATTCTACATAACGAGCTATGTGAGGTTTATTACTGGTAGTAGACATTTTATGCTTTACGTATTCAAGTTTAAGTTTTTAAAAGATAAGTATACGATGTTCATACCCAGAAATATCTACAGTTTAATTTCCATAAGTTTTTTGCCAAATTTTTAAGAAACAGTCATGCTGACAGCGTAACTAGGTCTAAATTGAACTGGATTTTTTATTAATGGAAATAAGAAAAAGAAAATAACAAATCTATCAAATTTCATTGTAGTTTCAATATAAAAATAAGGAGATGTGGTATAATTGCCAATGAGACAACTCTCCACCAGAGACCAAGTGACATAGAAGTTAACAACTAAAGGTTACCGTACATATTCAAAAGTCTTGAGAAAGAGAAAGAGAGAGAGATTTACCTTCTAAAAGCTCAATTTGTTGTTTGATTAAAACTTGATCTAATGTTGTCAGGTATTCTAAACCTGGAGGACATCCTGGCATACTTTGTACAGCTGGAGCCCATTGCTGTTGAACGTTCGCTAAACCTAAAAACAAGTTTAACTCATATGTTTTCTAAGAATATAAAAATAAGGAGATATAATATGATTACCAATGAAACAACTATCCACCTGATTTCAAATCAAATGTAAGTTCGGATGTAAGCAATTATAGGCAACAGTACTGCCTGGTTATATGTAAATAGAGAACCAAAGAAGAATCGCTGCAATTGTGTTCCAAAAGTATGTTTTTACTTTTAAAATAATTTAAATTATTCCTTTTTTATAAAATTGTGAATCTGGAATTTTCGAGCTCTCTCAAATAAAACTATATATGGATTGAATAATTCCGCCTCTTTTCACATTATTAAAAAAGAAATTTACAAAGGTTTTATGTTGGCGTAATCAATCAAATTTAAATGAAAACTCTTTTCTTTTGTAAAGTTGATATTAACTTTATGCAGTTGTAAATTAATAGAACCAATATATATGATGCATGATTCATTTCTGAAAGTTAGATTGTTTGAAACAGGAAAAGGCAAGGGAAAGGGTGTGATATTCATATTAGTTCAGCAGTCAGAGGTCAAACGTATTTCACACCTCGAAAATTACACTTTATATATTTCAGATAAAAACATACAGCAAGGTTTGACTGGGGAATAGAAATATGGTCATCCTTCTTCCGACCGACAGTAAAAAGCTTGCAAGAGTGGGTCTTCCGTTTTCTGTGCGGGATGTATAAATTCGCAATCACATCCGGTCAGAATGGAGCATTTAAATCCGATAGAGTGTCAGGCTCTCTGTACGTTAACCTAGCAACAACACTTTGAGGAGTCCGTATGTGGCAAGTGTTAACGCTACATTTTTGTCCCGATCCAATATACCCTCTTTTCCCGCCATTCATCCCGGTCGAAAATTGGTTATTAAATCATGTTTTCTCTGTAATGACACGTCATAATGATATTTCATCAAAACTGCAAAAAATTATGAGTTTAACGGTTAAACTGTTATCAAAATCGAACCTGAAGTTTTTGACATTTCTAAAGGATATAAATAGCGCAATATCCGACAGGTGTTAAAAACTTTTGATCTCTGACTATATTTAACTTACTAGGCTTTTCGTGTTATTTTGTGTTTGTTTAAACATTACTTGTTTGTTTTAGTCAAATATTGTTTCATTGAAGCGTTATTAAAAATCATTGCATACAGTTTATATTAAACGGTTCTCTGGAAAAACCTTTATGTGGGTAGGTTACCAAGTCGGCAAATTTCTTTATTTTTCTTGCATTGTTAAAAATGTAGACTATATACTTAACAACAAAATTATTTTCATTTACCTGTGTATAATATGACGCAGGTTTCTTCAAAAGTGATGATTTTCTAAAAATTGTTTGAAATTTCACAGTGATATCATACTTTAACTTTGTTTAAACCTGTTTATTTACTTTTGACTTTAATTATTTATCCCTTGTAATTTTTTATTAACTGTGTATTTGCATTCAGGTGTCACAGGTCAAATTTATTAGTTCATTGTGTGTTAATTTACGTTTTTTGATTGAGTTCAGCCTTCCAATTGATATTTTATAGTGTGTTTTTCTATGTTGTGATGTTATACTATTGTTTCAGAAAAGGGAGAAGGTTTGGTACCATTAAAACGTTTAATCCCGCTGCAAATGTTTGTACCTGTCCTAAGTCAGGAATCTGATTACAGTAGTTGTCGTCTGTTTATGTAGTTCATACGCGTTTCTCTTTTCTCGTTTTTATATAGATTAGACCGTTGATTTTTCCGTTTGAATGGTTTTATACTAGTAATTTTTTGGGTCCCTTTATAGCTTGCTGTTCGGTGTGAGCCAATGCTCCGTGTTGAAGGCCGCACCTTGACCTATAATGGTTTACTTTTATAAATTGTAACTTGGATGGAGAGTTGTCTCATTGGCACTCATACCACATCTTCCTATATCTATACAGAAGTTATAAATTGTTTGAATTACGACAGTAATACATAAAACGGATAAAAAGGAATTGCTAAAAATATTTGACAGAAAAACAGACAGTACAACCACCAATACCCGACTCTCCCGAAAAGAAATTGCCGTACAAACAAAAATATAATAACAGCAAAAAATAGGGTCAAAATACTACAGGAAGCTAGCTGAGATAGCCACAGCTATTGCCTAGTAAGGTCAACTATGGCTTGACTCACAGATCTAACATTATTTTTTACAAGATAACAATCGCAGTATTGACAAATTATCATTTTGATGAACACAGCATATTTAGATTTCTTAACATTTATGCTGCGATGCTGATAAAACATGAAAATATACAACAAGATGAAATGGAATTGTAAGCAATGCATGTTATTTCACGGGTGTAAAACACTTTCGATCTCTGACTATACTTAGCTTACTAGGCTCTTCGTATTATTTTTTGTTTGTTTAAAAATTGTGTTTGTTTTAATCAAAAGAGCTTATTTATGTTCAAACTCATCCTTTCACTGACAAATCTATATTAAGTACTTCGTTTTATATTAATCTCACGAATGAGTTGACCGAGTTAACACCTCGATAAACTTCTTCAAATTACCTTTACTGCTATTATATTATTATTTCGTTTAAGTTCAAACATTCTGTAATGTATATATCATGTTGTCAATCAAGTGACCTCTATAGGTATAATATATTTAACGTTCACTGTTGACACAAGACCAATACTATATCTGGCCTTTCTCTTCAAATTACCTCTATCATTGCATTACCTGTTTGTAGTACAATACATTTAATACAAACAATACGGTATTTAATCAACTTTTTAAAAATTTAAATGCGCTCAGTCTGTCAAATTCTTACAATTTGCCAATACATGTATAATTTGTTACATTGTGACGTCTAAAGTGCTTTATTTGCCGTATTTTTTTATCGGAAATCGATATATTTAAAGAGACTCAGAAAAAAATATGCATCGGTCTGATTATTATATTCCTGTTTCGCAATACTAAAAATGTATTAAACAAATTTCGGTCAATAGATTTAAGGGGAAATATATAGTACATGTATGCGTTACATATATTTCGTGCTTCTTTGACGAGACAAAATTCAACAAATCAAATATGACACTGTTAAATTAGTTCATCAATCAATAGAATTTGCAGTACATTACTATTTCGAAACAAAAAGTAAAATAACAAAAATACCGAACTCCAAGGAAAATTCAAAACGGGAAGTCCCTTATCAAATAGCAAAATCAAAAACTCAAACACATTAAACGAATGGAAAACAACTGTTATATTCCTGGTTTGGTACATACTATAGAATCACATGAAAATCACAAATACAAACATCTAAACAGGGAATATTCAGGTTTTCTATGTATAACTATTCCACACATTATATTGATGAATTATTTTTATAAAAAAAGATATTACATGGAACACTTTGAAACAATGTCACGCTCTTTGATTTTGATGAAATCTATCTACGAATTTTCAGAATGGCAATCGGCAGGTTTGCGTGCACTGAGTATGCTTTGATTACCTATTGAAAAGTTTAATTTTTTAACAGAACGTAACAAACATTTTAAAAAAGGTAGTTGTATATGCGTCTTTGACCTTGATGTCAAATAAAATTTCCTTCTCACAAAACAATTACCTGGTGGAGGGCCAGGTTGGTTTCCATAGCCTGGTTGCATTCCATAGGCTGGCGGTTGTCCATCCACAGGATTTACTAAAAAAAAAAGAAAGGAAGAAAAAAATATTACTGAATGTCCAACCTTATCATCATCATCAGCGTCGTTGTCGTCGTCATCATAATTTATCAGTATAATATATAACTAAATCGTGATGCCGTTTTATGACAATCGGGCTTCAAGATTTTAAAATGTAAAACAATTATCTTCATAGTAATGTATTCATTATCATACCACATCTGCTTATTTTCATATTCATAATTTATTCACAGTAAATAACTATGGACATTTGCATCATACATCGTGTGATGCATTATTTAGGAACATTGTGCATGAATCAGACTACATCTTTAATAAATTTGAATTATCCCAACATTACCAGGATGTCTTAAAAGAGAGGCGAAAGATACCAAAGGGACATTCAAACTCATAAGTCGAAAAAATAAACTGATAATGCCATGACAAAAAAAAAACAAAGACCAAAAGACCAACAACAGTATTCAAAACACAAAATAGAAAACTAAAGACTGAGCAACACGAACCCTAACCAAAAACCGGAGGTGATCTCATTTGCTCCGGAATGGTAAGCATATCTTGCTCCACATGTGGCACCCGTCGTGTTGCTCATGTAAGTACAAATCCGGTGATAAGTCTAATTCGGTAGGTCTCATTCTGCATGGGAGAGACGGAGGACGGGATTGTAGTTACAACGATTGAAATATATACGACGTATAAAAATTATAATACAAAAAAATAAAGATCCATGATTCTTACTCAAAAACAATTTTAAAACAGGTCGTAAAATTCGTATACTCTGCCAATTTGTACAATTCACGTTTTGGTTTCGGAACTGTAGAAATCATTCAAATAAAATACCGAATAGGAGGAGTTACACCATGGCACTATGTAAACGAGATTTGTGTAAGTCGCTGAAATCAAAGCAGTTGTTTTGGAGGGGTTGACGAATACAGAACGAATATCCTTTTTAAAGGATCCGCGATTTACCATTGGAAACACACTTTAAGATATTTTAGATAAAATGCATATATTCAGATGGGCAAAACCTATAAGTACTTAGGAGTCTTAGGATATCTGCAGAAGTTTCAATGTAATCATGTAACTCGTTTATGTGTATTCGTTGAGAAAACAAAATGAAGTAAAGGTTTTACTAATTGTTGAAGGTCGTACGGTGACCTATAGTTGTTAATTTCTGTGTCATTTCGTTTCTTGTGGAGAGTTGTCTCATTGTCAATCATACCACATCTTCTTATTTTTATATAAACATACAGAACAAAAACAAAGTCAATTCAAAGTCACTAACTGGATTTCAACAACAGATGTAAAGGCTATCATTCAGTTTTATTGATATATTTTATTTTTTGTTTAGTTTTTTTTCCAAGGTCCGATTTTTTTTAAGAAAAATTAGTCTGAATCAGATTATTATATTTTTGAAGATTCAAAATCTCGAAGCGGTGCAATTTGATTTAATCTATTACAGTATTCCGGCATGTGGTCTATTTCCAAATACTCCCTATTCAACGAATTGACTATTAAATACCTTGTTCAAATAAAAATCACTGTGAATATACCTATTCATAAAATACAAGACCTATATATTTAACTATGATTTAATCACCAAAGTTAAATACTGGAATGATCAGATGTGCTTAACTTAAGAATGACAAAAATATGTAAAACGATCATGTTCAATGATGAAGCCAAAAATTTTAATGATATCCTTCAAGAGCCACACGTGCGCGTAACAAACCTATTAAAGACACGTGACATACATTTTATCTTTTCCATGAGGTACCACACACCAACGTAACACATCTCTTCATTTTTCACGATGATATATTTCCCACTTTATTATATATCTAGTATAAATAGCATGCTCCTGTACATTCCTTACAGAAAAAAAAAACAATACCGGTTTGAACAATAAATAAGCGGATATTTTGCTTGGGTTGATCACTATCAACACCCTTGATAAATCATCTATTGATATTAAATTGTAAGGAAATAAAGGGGTCGTAAACCTGATTCCAAGACTTATCAAGGATACCGGTTGGAATTATAAGGAAGCTTCACAAACATTTGCATTATACATACAAAAATGAATAAGGTTTTAATTCATGTTACAGACTACATAGTATAGTTACAAATAGAAATTCATGGTTTTTATGCTGGATGTGGAATAAATAGAAAAAAGATTGGACAAATTTATTATTTTTCATATATATGGTAAAGAAAGATATTTCGCGGCCCGGATATGAGGACAGATTGATTAAAATCTTTCATTGTTTTGAAAATATATTATGGTAAAATAGATATTTCGCAGGAAAAATGACGATGCAAATTTTGTGTAATATAATACGTCAACATGATTTAAAAATTTACGTTTGAAAACTTAATTGAGGGTGATAGCAATAAAGCTGTTTCCAACTAACGTAAACACTATAAATACAATATTACTTAATTTTTCAGAGAGACGACTTTTTTTTATCTTGGCGAACAGTTTAACATGTGACACATTTTAAAAAAAATCAGCACAAATACGACTTTTTTTACAAAATGTTTAATAACATTAACGGTACCAGTTTTAATTAACCAGCTGCGCATTTTGACAATTTATAATGTCTTCTTAGTGATGCTCGTGGCCAAAATATTTGAAAGTCAAACAACAAACACCGAAGGAACGTTTTTTTCGAAAGGTCGAGGAAATAAAAGCTTTTCACTTTTATTCACACTGCGTGTTTACTTAGAATTTAGTATAGACACTGGTAGAGTGAAACAAAGGTCATGCTTATTTTCATTTGTCTTTAATTTAAAAGGTTGACTCCTCATGCATACAATTACTATGCAGAATCGGCCGTGTGCACATAAATTGGCAATCTGTTTCGGACCATCAGTTAACAAGTTATAGTAAAAAAAAGCAAAATTCATAAAATGTCAATAAAACAACGGTAAAACTCTCATGCAATCATTTTATTTGATAAAATAAAACTAGAATTGGGTCCTTAATGGTCTTCAATTTCGTACTTTTGTAGATGAATCGCGCTTCTGGCGTACAAAATTTTAATCCTGTTATCTATGATGAGTTTACATCATATTGAAGACAATAAGACGATTTACTTTATCCCCAGCATAGTTACTCATATGGCATGTTTGCATATAACATTTTAATGATGTATTTAATGCTATATAATGATTTGGTTTTGTGCATTATATTCCTGACATGTAAATAAAATGAGATGAAAGATATGTATACATCAATGAGAAGGCAAACCGAGGAAAGTATAGGTTCTAGCCTAATGAGCCAACATAAATAGATACACTGCAGGGGTTTATCAGAGAGAGGAAAAGTGGCGTAATTAAAATTTAAAAAAATATAAAGCAGGGCGGAGCTGAAAACGGTTTTAACCGACAAAAGAAGGTGCGTACGCCCTCTACCCCCCCCCCCCCCCCCTTTTTAAAAAAAACTGCACTGGCTGTATGCATTTGCCCTAATGAAATAATTGTGCATAACACATCAAAGATCATTTAAAAACACTATCAAACATGTCACTGTAATGAAGGATATATAATATGCAAGTTAAATGCATGCCATGCACAATTGGAAAGTTATGAATTGTAAGCAATGCCCATTCGAATGACATTTTAAAGTTTATGATCTTTATATGTGTCATTATGAATTCAAAACCGTTTAAGTCATTAGGGCATAGTAGAGTTGACATTTGAAAAGAATTGAAAGTTTCGATTCGTCGACTAAATACTGAAGCAAATAAATCCATTTGTTTATACATATCATTAACAGGCTTCCTTACCTTTATTTTGTTGAGACATTTTATAAACAACCTTTATGTGTCGCCCTTTTTACCTGTACCGTAAAGTCATTTATTGTAGCTATTTACCGCTGTTTACGTTAGAAACCAAATGCGAATTATTGGATTTCCATTGTATTACCTGTGGACAGTACGTGTACATATAAATAAGATTATTTTTGCGTGTCACACCATTTATGTTCTAATTCGCCAGACTTAAACGAACATAAATTATTTATGCAATAAAACTCAACACATGTATCAGAAATGAGCTCTCCTTGTGAGGGTAGCATACTTTTTATTAACCAATGTATAATATAAATCAAACAGTTCGTTTCAAAGTTCATTTTCAGCACATTGGGCACGTTCAATAAAACATTATTTGATTGGTCCGTGACTAACTCTATTCAATAAAGAAATTAATGATTTGCTACTATAAATACATTTATCATCGTGTTTATAGGTCGAGTTATCTCGCCTACCACAATCTTGATAGTTCGCTTCTGTAAAAACAAATCTTAGTTCCTATCTAAAACAAATTATATATATACATATATATAAATATCAAAACAATTGAGGGAAGCATTTAATTATTTAATTGGGCATTGGGCGAGAAAAAATAAAAACCAAAAAAAAAACCAAAAGAAAAAAACTTGTGAATATAATTTTGTTTGATTACAGAAATTCTACTTGAACATTGTAATATCAAAAAAGCTAGTAATTAACGTTTTAATAATTAAAAGTGAAATAGAAACTATCTTTCTATGTAAACCTAAACCAAACATGACATAAATGTGTCTTTATTTGCTTAAAATATCCAGGATTTTAAATATCAAAACGATAGAACAGAGGCGGATTCTTTTACGTTGGAGGGGGTGGGGTTATCGAAATATTCTTCTTGAGTGGGTGTAATGTAGATATCTCGCCAAGCGAAGCGTGGCGAGAAATATTTTGTGGTAAAAGTAGCTAAAACCGCCTAAATCCACCCTGACAACAATCTACAATCACCATAATTCACAAGAAAACGAGATTGAACACGAAAACAAGTAGAACAGAGACAGATCTCTATCTAGTGTACACAAGCTGACCCTCCATATTAAAAAAGAAATCAAGCGAATGTTATGTCAACAGTTGCTGGGAAAACTGGTATTACATTCATATTAGTCAATCAAATATATTAATTTTCTTGGGATCCCATGTAATACGCGCGCGGTAGTACGGGTCGGGGGCCTTGACCGTTTATGCATACTTCGGCAAAATTAGGATTTCGAGCAGGATAAGTAAATTTCAAAGATGAAAGCACCCTGCTACATCCACTCAAATCATGGTTCAAAAATCTATTCACAGGTTTCAAAAGCACAACATTAAAATCCTTAAGAACGGAATACAATGAATTACCGGTATATATCTGGTCTTGCCAAGTACTTATATGCTACACATCTGATGTATTCCTTCCTTGAAATGTCATCTCTTCTATTTGTTGTAATTGCCAACTGTTGACGAAATCCATCTTTTCTTTCTCTGGTTTGCGTACAGACGTGGGCATTTCAAAAGTTCTACTGTTGACATTAGTAACGGTCTGGATTTTCTTGATGACATCCATAAAGACATATATGTTAGGGTGGTGCGAATAGATTCATCTGGGGGAAGGGATGGTAGCCCAAAATTTTACAATAGCCATTTACCAGGGTCACTTGATTTGTCTTTGGCACTCATACCACATAATATTGGTATATGTGTAACATACTGAATATTGCGATCGGGAACCAGTCTACCCCGATACAAATGAATCCGGACGTTGATGCGTTCGAAGTGATAATCAGTACAACAATTGGGATGACAACAATTTCGAATGCCTTTCTAGAACTTATGTGGGAATCTCTCAATGTGTCTATGTACATGGTAGTTTATCTTATCAATTATACAGTTGTTGCATGTTTCAGATTGTGTATAGAACGTTTGATAAAACTGCTAGACGCAAAACGCACAGACATGGTGCAATTTTCTAAGCTTTATGAGGAAAACAATGTTGAATATCTGTTCTTACATAAACTTTTGCGTAGCAATACTTTAAGCAATAATAAATAACTACACGTTAAATTACTAGGTGCATTCAACTGTTGTATATACACACATAATATAAACGATATCATACTAAAGTTTCCTCTTACTGTATCATTCGTTTCACCGAGTGTGTCATGTTCGTTGCTCTTTTATAAATAATCAATGTACAATTCGTTGACAAAAACCGTCACAAATCCCTTACTTTTTAAGGTATTCGAGATGGCATCAGCGACCCTTTTTCTGTGTTTTATTGTAAATTTTATTTGTTAACTTTGTCGAAATAGTAGACAATAAAATTATCAGTCTTTCAAGGCCAACATTGAAAAGCACACATCTGACGGCAATTTTTCAAATGAAGAACTAGGAATTTCAATGTTATTCCAGATGAAAAAAAAGTTTCAAGAAATATATAATAGCCAATAAAAGTTCTATAACTCTTACTTTTCACAATTTGAGGCCCTTTCAAATGCAGATTTTGGTCAAAGTTAGCTAAAAAAACGAAAGCAGCCATAGGATCTCGATGAATATTGTATGTCAAATGAATTAGATCATATTCCAACTGTTTTATTTTTATATATATATATAAAAATGTAGATGTGGTGTGATGGCCAATGAGACAACTATCCACCAAAGTTAAAATGAAGTGGATGTAAGCAATCATAGTCCATCGTACGGCATTCAACAATGAGAAACCCTATACCGTATACAGTCGGAAAGCAAGCCCTTAGAAACGACCGTTGTTGCTACTTTCTTAAGACAACAATGGAACTGATATTAAAACCCGCCATTCTGAAATTGCGTTAATTTCGCGGGAAAAATAATTTGGCTCCAATTTGGAATTTTTTCTTTTTTCTGTTTCTTACTTGCCATTAGGGTCAGAAATAGATTTCTTTCGATTTTTCAAGCATGGTTCTTATTATCAAAGAAAATAATACTTAAACATGTTATAAATTGTCCGTCTTTTAAAAATAACGTAATGCCTTTGATCGTCGTTTAAGAATTATGCGAAATTGTCTGTTATTTTTTTCTTCTTTTTTTCCCCAGATAAACAAAGAATATACAAACTATATAAAAAATTAATAATAAGTATCTCAAAGTTAAAACAAAAATCAAGTCTAACGTTCTATCACCCCTTAGGAAACCCCGTTTATTCCAAACGAAAGACATTTTTTGACATTGTAGTTTTTTTTTATCTTACACATCGATGTCAACTTGCATCTTTACACAATGTACACACATTTAGTGTGTTTGTTTGAAAAAGCAATGGCGAGCTGTGAATATTTGACTGGATTAATTATTCTCTATAAGTCAGTGAATTGTTTGACTTAACTAAAACAAGGTAAGGAAATCGTATACTGTCTTTACACAACTTTAACCAAAACTCATTCATCGTTTATAATATTATAAAAAAATTTGTGATGAAGTAATCCTGCAAAAGCCAAAACTGCCAAAGGTAAATGAAAAAGTCTTGTCCTAAATATGAACTTAAAACAATCTCTTTCAGACTAGCATTTTAATCACTCTTATTCAAAGCATGTTCATACTGACTTATGACTTGTGATCTAAAATATAATATTGTTGACTTAGCACTCAGAATCTGCTCTGAAATACTTTTATATAAATATAAAAATGCATAATTGTTAAAAAAAAAATAAATAGAAGAAGAAAAATATTAGACCCAGTCTTTTTTTGTTCTTATCTATTTTCAAGTTCATGATTAGAACCATTTATTTATTGGTTTAGTGTTTTTTTTTTATAATTTGAGTCCATTCATTAGAATCTGCATGGAATCAGTGAGACAAAATTTATTGTTATATTTAGTTTGTTCATACAAGAATTGCAAACTAATTTCCTTTTGTTTCAAATAATGAAGAATTTACATACAGAATACTTTCATTATGGTCTCGTTTAAGTTTAAATGAAAAAGGTAGGATCAGGTATCAGTAATGAAAAGGAGTTCCTGTATTTGATCATTTTAATCCTGTCTTGATCCATTATTCATGAATACTTTGGCTAACCCTTGTATGATTAAAGTAGAAATTTATTTCTGTGTTGAAATAATTTGGTTACAGCAGTATAAATACTTACCAAAATATAAATATTAAATTAACTCTTGTAATAATAATATTATGGCACATACTGACATATAGGGCCTAGTTGAGTCTTTCACTGAGACTGAGTTCTGAAAAGTGATAAAATGTGTTTCGCTAATTTTTTTGCACAGTGTCAAACAAAGGGACGTAACTCGTAAATTACTATCGGCCCCGCTTCGTCAGAAATATCGACACATCGAAGTGGCACATTTGCGTATTACAGCGTATTAAGTGGCACAAATTTGACATATCATAGTCAAAGTTATGTTACATAACATAATTTAAATTCAGCATAGCTTCCCGAGAAGTTAAGAAAGAAAATTATGATTTTAATTTCCAGTGACCGATTTTTTTGGTCAACACCTAGACTTTGAAGACACATTTTGAGAGAAAAAAATAGTTTAATCCATAATTGAGTGGATCAATATATTTCTTATATACTCAAGAATGTTCACTTAAAAGCAAATTAGTTTTAATTCATGCAAAAAACTACAAATTCCAAAAAACGGGCTTCACTTTTTTTGGTAAAAAAATGCCCATATATGGTAATCACATGACTTCCATTGTTGCTTTAAGAAATGGGGTCAAACCGGGGTCAGCTTTCCGACTGATAGTCGGCTATAAAAGGCTCCGATATAAAAAAAAAAGTGAAACAATTAAAATGAGACAACTAACGGCCTAATGTATAGCTAAACAGTTAACGAAAAACAAATATGACAGACATACCTTTGTACCACAGGCTCCTAACTTTGGAGAGGTAAATAAATAATGCGGCGGGGTTATACATGTGAACTCTCAACCCTCATTCTAACCTGGGACACTGGTGTAACTTCACAAAATGATAAAAAAAAACACTGCACAAATCAGTTGCAATTGGTTTGACTCAAAATTCGATACGAGGCACAAAAACATCTAATATAAAACAATACACATGAAGAACCGAAATAAGAGTACTTGTAGTTACTGATAGTTATTTCGGAGCCAATT